CATAACTCACATTTCTTTGAGTTTATCTAATATTCCAATTATGCAGCTGCATATTCGGCCGCTATTTTTAAGAGCACATCCCAAGGGCATGCCTGCAGCTCAGGCATTTCTTAGTTGAAGAACCACAGTGAGTTGGCTGGCTGTGACAGATCTGTCATATCACAACCTCCCACTGGATTTAAATACTCTGCTCTCTCAAACAATGGAAAAACTTAGACATTTTCCACATTAGGTATTGTACAGTATACAGAAATGATGGTTGACCATTACTCAACTGAAGCATTGATGCTGATAAGATGCACAATTAGCCTGTTTTTGTTCTGGGTTTTCCTAGTACGAATCATGCTTTCTCAGTTCTCAGAAGCTAAAATATTCATAACAAATTTATGCAAAACTTTGTTGATATTCTGCTAATGTAAACAAATAACAACTGTGCAATTCAGTTATTTCCATTAAACAACAGTTAAAATCACAGTTTGTTCATGCAATAAGTCAGTAAAATAAGTAACGGTGTCATCCTCTCACCACTTCCTGTCGTCTTCTTTGTCGTTTCCACCAGTAGTAACATCCAGCTGTTGATCACATGACTCATGAGATGCCAAAAAAGTGTTTCCATTCCAGTTTTGAGAATTGCACTAATTTCAATACAGCTGAAAAACCGACTCATCCTAGCGCAAAAAAACATTTTAATGAAAAATTTGTTTTTTTCTAAATTGGTGAGTTAAAGCAAATTTATGTTTGTAATTCCAATTTCCACTTTATTAATGTAAATGGAAATGCAGTTAGTGTCTAGAACCAGGATCCAGACGTCTAAGAATATAATGTCTCATCCTAACAGATTATTTAGATTTCATATCTGGACTTATCAATGAAATTATTATCAATTTTATTAGCATCAAAGATAAACGAACCCAACAACACCAATGCAGTTTAACTCTGTCTGCATTTAATTTCAATGACATAAGACGACACAGGACTATAAAATATGTCACACTGTTACCTTGTGACTGCAGCATGCAGTTTGATCACCAGATGAGCCAGGGTGTCAGATATGTGTAGGAGCTATTGAAAGTTGTTGCAGGGGATTTGTTATGTCAGAAAACCAACCTCAGAGTTTGCCGCCAGTTTTAAGAGGATATAAACTTTTGCTCTGAAAATGTTTTCTCTTTTTCTTGGGGTGAGCCTTAAACGTGTGCTTTATGGCCAATCTTCTTCCTAAACACCCCATTTAAAATTTAAAGAGGAATAAAACTGGGATCAAAAACATGAAATTGATCTATTGCAGGCAGGTTCACTTTCTAGGTGGCTAATCTGTCACAGGGCAACAGAGAAAATCTTTATTTGTTTCTATAATCATAGTTTCATGAAACAACCTGAGATCACCTGACATAGTTTAGAACAAAGCTGTTTTGTCCTTTTCCTTACCCCATTTTTACTTTCCCATTTCGTCTTTGTCTTTGCAGATCTGTGTAGTTGCCTTTCTGTAGTCTTTCTGACAAGAAATAAAAACTTATTACAACAAACTGAGGCTGTAGATAAGGCCAAACAGCCTCTGATTTTATTCCCATTGGGTCAGTTCAGTAATCCAAGCGGTTCTGCTCAGATAACTTATTCATTACCTCGGGGCAGACGGGGATGAGAATTAAGGTTTTATGTAAAAGCAAATAAGGTTTTGTTGAGTTGTGTCCAAATTTTAGCCATTTCTTTTTAGCGATTTATGCCCTTAAGCTCTTTTGTTCTTTAAAAATAAGATTTTGGCACAACAGCGGGTTCTGATGCAAAGGTCACAGTAGTAATTCAACTTTAGAAGCGAGGGATCTGCACTGGATGGTTATTCACGATGCAAGAGATGAGGTATGAAGTGATAAGAGCTGAATTCATCCGCAGCTTTAGCACACTCAAGGTTTGAAACTGGAAGGATAAAGTAGCAGCATGGCCCACAGAGCTGGCTCCCCTCCAAAAACTAACCACTAAAGGTACGTTTCTCCAAGCTTCTGGCGTTGATACATGGCCGTGTTTCCAGTTACTGCCTCTGTAAAAACCAAAGCTTGTGTCCAGCTAAGAAAGACGTATCTCCTGCTCATTCTTGGACTCAAAACCCCAGAGAATGGTCAACAGAAAAAAGAAAAAAATATATGGATTTCAGTTCATAATGAAAGCCAGCTCACAATGCCGCTCAGTTAAATATTTTTTCCTAGATCGGTGAAATTCAAACTCTTCCTGGAGAACAGACATCCCATATGTAAAACGAAGCCAGTTTACAGCACAGAGAGACGGACTAAAGAAAAGGACGGCGACGCCATGTTTGTGTGCGGATCACTCCAGGCCTCTTGGCTCTACATTTAGAGACTTACTGACCTTTTCTGGGAACCAGTTGTGACAGAAAAACAAGGCAGACTTGTAGATCAGTGAGAAATTCACCTGTGGTGGGTATAGAGGAGTGGGAGATCTGTATTGTACCTTTTTTCCATTTACTTCCAGACCTGTTTCGGACCACATTGCCAATTTCAGGCACAATTTGCTGAAAGGCCAGATGCAGCTGCTCTCAGGATCTGAGCACAGTGGTGTGATATAAACACAAATGGAGCAAGTCTTGAACTATTTAGGCTTCCATACGGTCACATTTCATGGGAAATGAGAGTTGGACTTTGTGAAACCCATATAAGACTATAGATAAGTAGTACAAATGCAAGTCTTTGTGCTACTATCAACTTCACCTTAATAAATGTAGACCACAGAAAAACAAAAATCAGAACACATATTTGGCTTTGTTGTGTTTGGCACCTGTACATTTGTTTTGCATAACTTTGTTGGCTCCATTCTTTGCCTTTATGGTCAAGGTCTCTGCTAATGTCATGCTAATGATATGTGTGGGTGGCTTACTTGACATGGCTGGACCTCGCTGCTAAGTCTCAGCGTTAATCTGGTTGGACACATCAGCCAATGAAAGCATTTTGTCATTAAAGCCAAATAAAGTTTTCTTGTAGCCATTTTCCAGTCGGGTCTCAGGACCTGCAGATGCTTTGTAGCTGACCTATAAATCAGCTGGTGGTTCTCCAAATAGAACCAACTTTGTCAGCAGAACTGCAAGCACAGGACCAGTTATCAAGAGACAAAATCCCTAATTTCTTATCCTACATAAAACTCCTTTTATTTCTAGTTTTTTGTTGTTTACAGAAAAGAACAATTAGCAAACTTTGATCGAAAGGAAGAAGGTTATGATTATACTCAGTTCTTTTAATTTAATAGGGTTATGGATGAAAACAGGTCAAAGTGGGGAAACTTGGACAAATTCTTGGTTTGGCTCTGAGTCTCTGACCAATGGGAAATGCCAATAGCTTTGTCTTTGGATCTTCTTCCAATGCAACATTCCTGGAAAAAGTCTTTTTGTTTTAGCAACAAACTCAACAGTTAGCTGTAGCATGACGCAGTGGATGAATAAATGGACTAACCCTTGATCTCAATTGTATAGTTTGGTGAAAGATTTGATTCTGTGACCTGATATCATTCCAGAGTGAATAAAGAACATCTTAAGGAAGAAATAGATTGTGCCCTGACAGATAACTTAAAGTGGTCAGTATTTTTTTCCCTTTTAGCATCATTTAAAGGAGTTGTGGTTGATTTTTTTTAATCACTTCCTACTCATTTTTAAAAAGTGTTCCAATATGTTTGGAAGCCACTGCATATTTTCACCAACCTTATAAAATAAATAAATACACATTAATCTTGAATGTGCTTTCATAGAGTCCAGCAGCAAGATGTTTTTTTTTTAGGTTGTTTAAGCAGTAGTTTTTTAATTTGTAACTGCAAGCTTTAGTTTTGTAAATATGAAAAATGTAGACCAACATAGCAGGTAGATATATAGGCTTTGAGTTGCCTTAAAATCAGTAATAGTATGAAACAAGATGTGCAATGTTCCCTTTATTTGGAGCGCAAACAGATGTTTGCAGAAATCTGTCTTCATTCCTGCGTTTTCTCTCTTCCTGCTGTTGCCAATCAACTGTTTTCAGGTGAGGTAAAGTTTACGTCGATAAAGAGGATGGCTGGCCATGACCTCAGATGCCTTGTGGTTTTCTGATACAAATATCTTTGCTTGAGAATGTTAAAGTCAGAAACACAAAACCAGATAAAGCCATCAACCAGTCTGTTGCAAATGCCCGATTATTTCATTGATTTTGTGCTCCTGGAGGCAGCCTGCAGTCATTGTCATCTGGGAATACAGGCATGACAACCTGGCAGATGTCAAACCATCCTGGCTCTCCCACTTCTTCATTTCCCCTTCTCTTAAAATGTTGATTCCCCAACAAGGCCCTTCTGCTGTTTACCATGCAGCTTTCCTGCATACACAACCCCCTATGGAAATTTGGGTACACGTGTAAAACACTGGAAGGGACAAATTTATTAGACAAAAAGCATTTTAAGGATAAAGTGACTACAACTTATTCCCTCAGTCAGTCAATCTACACAACTTAAGTGCTGCTGCATCAACAAATTGATTTTATCTGAGCAAAAACGGTTTGTTTGAGCCAATTTTTCTCAACCTAACTAGCTAACTAACCTAAAGTCATTTAATTTAAACTACCCTGACAGTTTTTAAAAGTAGCAAGCAACAACCCCAATGTAAATGAAAATGAATTCCAGTCATTTTTACAAAACTCCTGATTGGTTTTTAGATAGTTGTGGCTGTTGATCCTGTCCCAACCGTCATTCTGTAATACACAAACCGTCAGCAATTTAACTACATCAAAACTACATTTTCTCCTCCCTAATCGCTCAACATTCAACATCTTTTGTCAAACATATCTAGTGTCCATGAATATACAATGGAAAAGACTACACATGTAGCATGGAGAAAACAAAATCTAATGCATTCCACCAAAAATCCCTCATATGTTAATTTTATTTATGTATTTTAACTTTTAAAATTTATTTCATCATCTCTCATTTTTATCTTTGTGTAAAATTTATGTAATAATTTTGGGAAAGTTTCGCTTAGTTTTATTGTTGCGGTCGTAGCCCATGACGTCACTTCCTCCTTCACCAGCCCGTTCCTGGATGCTATGGTGGAAGGTGAGTTTTTCACGAGTTTCTGTCGGTATCTTGTTTAAATGTTGCTGTATATGACAAAATGTTTTACTATCTTTTAACTAGCGTGTTTTTATGATGTTCATTTTAGTTTTTATATATATTTTGGCAGAAGAATGAATGTGTTTGTCGAGTGGGCTAGCCGATTGCTCCTCATGTCGTTTCTTTGCTAAGGCGGACTGATGTCGGCTGAATATTCTCGGAAATGTTAACTTCCATCCTATACAGGTATGTTGTTCACATCTGTTATTTTTATTGAGCTTTCTTGTTCATTTTTGGAGTTTTATATATTTTATTTTCACAATATACCTACATATTGTTATGCATTTTGATTATTAATCACAAGTCAGCCGGTGGTTTGTGTTTATTTTTATTTGTTTTACTAAATTGCTTCAATAGCCTAAGTAGATAAATGATACAATAGAAAATAAAAGTAAGTAAAAAAATAAATAAATAAGAAGACAATTATAAAATGGACAAAGACACCAAACGCTCATAATATGAAGAAAAAAAACAGTTAATTTTAGCTGCAGCGATTTTCTTCCCTCCTTCACCATTTCTCTTTAATTGGTGTTGAAGGCCAGGGAAAATAGATGTTTTCAGTCTGGATTGATTAAAGTCTGATTAAATTATCCACAGAAATGGATTATTTCATTTAAATGTGAGCATTTTTCTGGTGTCTTTTGATGTTTGCTAGAAATCCAAACATAACCTTATTTTAACCAGAAGGAACTAGCCATAAATTATAACTTCTCAATTACTAACACAATATTTCCACCAGGTTATGTTTTCAAAATGTCTTTTAATGTTTATTAGATGTTTAAATGTAAGTTGTTTTACATTGAGTAGCAATAAAAACGGGAGCTAGCAGCTAGCATCAAACTCAGTCTTTAGTCCTTTACTTCCCTAAATATGTTTGATTTGGTCTGTTTCTTTAGACTGTTGTTTGGACATTATGAACTTTTATTTTTTATGATAAGTTTTTGCACCTGGCAGTGTTTCTTGGTCCAAACCTTGACAAAATATATAGGTCCCTTACTATTCACACAAGTGTATATTATCTTGAGGGTTTCTTCCATCTGTTCTCTGAAAAGATTTATACCCTGCCCTACAAAGGACAATCTCACCTCAAAACCATTTTCTTTTTCTTATTTACCAATAAAATAGAGATACTGCAGCTTTGTTGTTCTCATTATAAAACACCAAAGTCTGGAGATGTTTACAGCCACATGGATATGCATAAATACATATTTTTTTTTCTGTATGTAGAAGTTCAAACACAAGCCAAGCAATTGACAGGACTTCGTTTCACAACTGCCAGGAGGAAGAAATAAAGAATAAACTACGAATGCATGTAGGCCAAGATAAAAAACTCAAGTCCTTTTGAGTGGCAGCCCAGATTCAGTGGCTCAGGTGGGCTCAGCCAAGCGGGGCTCCACATGCATAAATATTGCAGGGTTTAAATCTGAATCCTGTGACCATTTTGATTTTGTGAAAGACTACAAGTAATAGAGTGAGAAAAGGAACTGGTGTGGCTTTCATTTCAGAACACGTAACTGTATGATATGTTATGCATTGCACATGAGATGAGCTCTTGCAAGTTTCATTTTCCTGTAGACTTGCTTGGGTTGTGGTAGTTTCTGGTACAAACCATCTGGTGGTGGATGAAAATGGAAAATTTGGGTCAAGGGTTTATAGTCACCTCGACCAAAATGTAGCACCGCTAGTTTTAATCACTTCAATTTATTAGAAACAACATTAACTGCTGTTAAGAGGCTACGTGTTTTACCAAATTTACCCCACGGTCACATTCTCCCCTTCCTGTCTCCTGTGCTGAACATGTCTACAGTTGTGTCATGGGATAATCAGTGCAGTCTGGAGGTGATCGACAGGTGATGAGAACCTCGATCTAAAAACGGCAGGAAGTCTGTCATAAAAGTTGTCAGCCTGTAAGTGAGAAGCTGCTGCAGAAATTCCCATGGAAAGAGAGACTGACTGCTTTTCTTGCCAAGTGTAAGAAAATGACAGAAGACTTCCATATGGAGTTTAAAAGCAGCAGAAAATATGTGAAATATTGATTCAACATTGGACTTTCCATCATGTTCAATAGAAATTTGAAGTTAAGACTAAAGCCATGAAAAAGTGTTAGTCTTTACTGCTTTTACAGGCCATGATATTTTACAGGCAGGTTTCACAGAACATTTAGCAAATCAAAGCTAAAGCACAAGATCAAAAATCACATTTCTCAACCTAAGACCTAAAATATGAATACAGCAAAATGCCCAAGACATCAATCAGGTAATTATTTACTTCTTACCATTTTGGACAAATTATTCATGTAGTAGCAGAGTCGCTACCCAGCATGCAGCCCACACTTCGATGTTAAAAGCATCAGCCAGGATGGGTGGTCTCTGCAGCGTCTTGATGAGGTCTGCAGGGGGCTGTAAAGAACGGTGTGGGCTCTCCATCTTGAAAGAGCGTGAGAGCGTCCCAAGTGTTTTGAGTAAGTGAAAAACCTGCGTAGTAATGTCATTATGTTTTAATATTGTGCTGGCAGCAGGGGTCCGGGTTGAACCTGAGTTCGCTGTATCTTCTGGCTTTCCTGGTTGGCTGAGAATTTTTCGTAGAAGCTCAGATCTGATGCCTGTGGCTGAAAGCAGTAGCACCAATGTTAGCACTGTCGCCTTGCCAAAAGAAACTCCTCAGTTCAATTACCTGTCTTATAATAGACTAGTGACTTGTCTAGTGCGTCCCATGACTCTCATCCGTTCACTGCCACACTGCCAGCTTAAGCAGAAGCATGTTTTCATCATCGTCACCATTTATTAATGAGGACAGGGTCATACTGCCATGCAGTTTATAACTCAAATTTAAATTTCACTTTTGGACTAGAGCTGAAACTGATGGTTGAGACCCAGAAACATTTTATAACTTAAAATTCCTCAGATTGTTAAAAGTTTAAGGGAGTAACTTTTTCACTTCCAATACGATGTAAATACCGCAGCTTTTAGTATTTGCCCATACTGATATTGATGTCAGCAAAAGCTTACATTACTCAGAGAACATTAGTCTTATAGTCGATGGAAACGGTTTGTATTTTTAGCCACTGAGTTTAAATGGCTTAAAATGATCAATTTCTCTGATTTTACTGTTCATATTTATGTGTTTGAGTGAAATGAACATTGTTCTTTTATTCTATGAACTACTGACAACATGTCTGAAATTCCAAGCAAAAATTCAGTATTTATTAGCAGAAAATGAGAAATGGAACAAACAATTCAAACCTTAAGGCAGAACCGTCCTACACGTTCCAACAAGCGGCTGCAGAAGTAAAGTCCTGAATAGTTCATGGTATAATTAGTGCTGCTTTGATGCTGACAGTGTCGTTATAATGGAAGCAGAACAACACGGATGTTCCATCCATGAAACAAAAGTAATCCCAGCACATCCAACGTCACACAGATGGGAATTTAAAATGTATTTGTTGACATGAAAGTATTTACAGGAACAAAAGCAGCTTAAATTATCAGATGATGGTTTGTACTATGAATTATTTATTTAATGAAAGCAGCCAACATAAAAGACATTTCCTGTTTCCCAGCAGGGTTCTTCACAAGTTATTTTGAGTCCTGGAGAACTGTGTAATGTCAGCTCTTCACTGTGTTCCAGCAAAGTTTGCAGACAAATCTGCTAAAAGGATTACAGAAAAAAAGTAATCGAGTAAAGTTTCTGTTGGCCTGTCAGAAGGAACCGTTCATATATTTAACAAAATCTATGAAAGGGCGATCTGGATCTTAAAAAATAACTGGCTTTATCATTGATTTTTTCCAATCACCAAATCAACATTATTGAAACACTATTTTTTAAATATTTTTGCTTCACACAGACATTAAGTTTGCTCTTAATTTGTAATACATCATGTTTAATGTGGATTTTCAACCCTTTTGAAGGTGAATAAAGACCAGCAGCTACAACAGAAGTATTTATTTGCTGCATTTGAGCGGGAACACCTGAGACACATGATGCTAACACTCACTTTTTCTGATTTATGATTTATTAGACAACATCTAAATTTGAAGACATGCATTTAGTAGTGCAGTGCACTAAATTGTAAGCAAATTTGTTGTTTAATAAAATGTAGCTTTTTTTCACCATTGGTTGTGAAAAAATTTTATTTTTCCCCTGATTTTATTTTTTTATTTGACTTCCTTCTTTGTCTGCCTAAAGAAAATCAGAAACATTTGATTTTATTTATATTTAGCTCTTTTAAATCTTGTATTTGGGCACTTGAGCAGTTATTTTAAGAGAAGCTTCAACAGAAAGGAAGTCGTGGACATGCCATGATAAAAGCAATTCATTGTTTCAATGTTTTCTAACTTCCATGAATAATTAATGATTAATTTAGATTTTATTTCAAACAGGTTTTAAAAAGCAGTCAGTAGGACAGAGAAAACATGTGCATACATAACCAAGAACAAAAACATTGTTTACCACTACTTCCTGTTAAATCTTACCCCTTAATTTGATGATTGATTTAGATATTTGCCAAAATAATAATAATTTAATTAATTTGTTCATGATTTAATAGCTATATGAAGATACCAGAGAAGTTTGATGGCTGCAGTGATGCAGATGTGCAGACGGTTGGTGGGTCAGAGGAGCATGTTGTGCAATAAGAGACCAACATGAAAGAGATGGATACAAAGAAATTCTTATATAATGGAGTTTACTTCAGGTTTTGTCCATTGAACAATCACAAAGAAAGCCTGTTTGTGTTGAATCTGCTTTGTTGTCGACCTCTTCTGAGAGCTGCGTTTCCTTTGTGTTGCACATCTGCACAATTGAGGCGAGGGACTCTCAAAATACGGAGCGGCGACATGACAGAGATAACTGCTCATTGTCTCTGTTCTCAAACTCTTGGCACAACATGATGACAAATTTGCTAAAGATGTCAGTATGACCTGAGAAGGAACAGAGGGAATCATATTGCACATTTCTGTTCACACCATGTCTGCTCTGGAGGCTTCAGATGTCTGGAGCTGTGTGTTTTATAATTGGATGTTGGGGATGAAAGAGCCACAATTGAGCATTGGTGGTCATAGGAAAGGTTCCAGTTTTTCATGGTTTACCCCTCGCAGTAATGAATGAATCATCGCTGCTCCACTGAAAGTCGTTTAAAGGGAAATTACAATCAGAAAGTCATTTAACTTACCTGACATTTTATGGGC